CTCTGAAGGCTGGGGACATATAGACTGCTTGGTTTAAATCCCAGTCTAACCTACAGGCCTGACACTGTGCCATGTACTTATAGTCCCAGCAACTTTTGGAAGTTAAGTCAGGAGGATCATCAACTTGAAGCTGGTCTAGGCAGTAGAGCAAGAATCTGTCTGGAGAAAAGAAGCTATAGTTCTGAAGCCAGCCAGTTGAAGGTTTAGCAGAACTACCGCCATTTTGAAATTAAGAAAGTCCTTTAACAAAAACAGTCTGATCCAAGTCATGAGTCACAGGGAGATCTGTTTGAGGAGTAGTGAGATGAGGAACCAGGAATGGGTATTTGAAGGAATCAGGATACTTACTCACGGGAAAGCAATTGACTGATTGCCGTGAGGAATGATTTACATGTGCTTGTATCTTGTATCTATAAATACAGAGAACGTGGACTATTTGAGACAGTTGGATGGTACTGGCTGGCTGTTTTACAGACAAACTCCTTTCTTCTCCAGTTTCTGCCTCTCACTTCTTCAACTGCCAGAAGCAGCAGCCAACTTAGCTGGTAACAGTTGGTGCTTTGAACAGGATCATCAGCAGAAATCACCACTGGATATTTCCTGGGTTTGGGAGTGGACATGACTCAGATCATAATCTGGTAAGTCTAAAACCTTTCCCATTTGATTCTGTAGAAGGAGCCATTGGAGCACGATGGAGATGGAAAGTAAGCTTGCCTGATTTTGAGGTGCACTTTTGTAGTCTATAGGCCTTTTGTAGTTGGTAACATAGACGTCATAGTTTGTGTTGTGCGTGTCTGAGGCATAAATTCTAAAGTTTGCCTGGAGGGAAACTAGACTTGTTTGAATTTGAAATACACTCTTGTAATCTGTGGCCTTTTGTAGTTGGTGATGGAGTTTGTCTCGTATGTTGGTGTGAGTGCTATGATTGGGGGACGTGAGTTCTAAAGTTTACAATGACAGTCATATGGAGATAGAGAAAGAGGTTGAAACTCAGAGGGTAACAGACTCATTAAACCCTTTATGCTGATGGAAGCCCAAGGAGGGACTGACATTCCACTCCTATATTGGGAGGCTGAACAGCCTTTGTCTTCCCTATATAAGAGGTAGGGAGATACAGGAAAGATCTGTCCTCGAAGCAGGGCGATCGTGTCTTCTCCAGTACTGGTAGAGATGAATCAAAGAGGATCCTCAGCTGGATGTTATAGGCCTTTCTCTACTTCAGATTTACTTACCTATTTAATAGAAGAATTCTAATCCTTCCCATTTAGGGGACCCTCAGAGGATGGTAGAGCTATTTGCCACCATTTTGGCCATTCACTGCCCTACCTGGCTGGATATTCAGGCTCTTATGAATGTCTCACAGCCAGTGGAAGGTGCTAGATAAGGCAAAAGAGACAGAGCAGCTTCATACTGAACTCCCTGATGATACACCAGACTCAGGAGGTGCCATTCCTCACACAGAACCAGATTGGGATCCTAATGGTACAAATGGAAGAGCAATGGCTGGACAGGAACATTACATGAGGTATATCTTAGGAGGAATAAAATCAGGGACCCCCAAACTTAAAAGTCTTAATAAAATACAGCGGAAGCCCTCAGAGGACCCATCGGAATTTATGGAAAGAATTTACCAAACTTATAGGAAGTTTATAAATGTTGACTCTCCCCCCCCACCAAGCTCTATAAAAATATGAGAATTGTCAATATGACTTTTAATAGTCAGAGTGCCCTGGACATTAGAAAGCAACTGCAGGCAGCAGAAGGAGCAATAGGAAGGCATGCTTCACAGCTGAAAGTCATTGCCATTATGTATACTAATAGGGAAACTAAAGAGGTGAAAGGATTGAAACACACAGATACTTTGTTTCCACTGCAATAGGGGCTTAAACAAAAGGGAGGAAAAGGATATAAAGAAAGAGAAAGTCTTGTTTATTCTAAGAAAATGGGGAACTGAAAGAAGACATGTTCCATGCGTAAAGGGAAAATACCCTAGTCACTTTTCACGTAGAGATCTGAAATTATGAGTGCTCATAAAATGTGTGCGAGTCAACTTTAAGTTAAGATACTTTGATTTATATGAAGAATAGTTTGCTATGTTTGACTTTTTGAAATCTTATAAAAACAAAATATATCAGGCCAGTTATCAAGATGGCTTTGTTCTACATTGAAAATTTTGTCAAGAAAGCAAATGGTTTCAGAGATTGTGTGATGTGTATTCATAAGCTGCTGGTACGTGACAACTTAAAAATCACTTGTTTTTGGGAATTAAGGTTACTAAGAGTTAAAATTCTTATATGTGAATGTTGGTCTAAATCAGAGGTTATTTAAGGTTGAAAGCAAACAGTAAGGAAAAGAAGATGTGAAAGGAGCTGTAACGGTAAGAGATACTGTTTATGTTTGAAATTTTTGCAAAGTAAAATATCTGATATTATATATATGTGTGTGTGTGTGTGTGTGTGTGTGTGTGTATGTGTGTGTGTATACATACACACAATTTTCCCCCTATATTAAAATAAGGCTTTTCTTAAACTTGTTTCCCCACTGCCCATCCCATGAGAGAGACTTGGTCTGTAGTTTTTGCTGTTGTTGTTACGCTCTTGTCTTCTTTTAGTGACAATATGATGGAGGCTTTGTAGAAGAGTCTGGTAGAGTTCCTTCCTTTTAGATCTTTAGAAATATCAATAGTTTGAGGAGAACTGGGGTTAGCTCTTTACAAGTTTTGTAGAATTCAGAACTAAAGTCTTTGGGACCTGGCCTTTTCTTTGTTGGGAGACTTTATTACTGGTTCAAGCTCATAACTTGTTTTGGGTCAATTCAGGCTTACTGTTTCTTAGTAAAAGTAATCATGGTGCAATAAGCTTTTCTTTACATCTCATAACCTGCCTAGAAATAAGAGTGTTTGTGTTTATTGTATTTTGATTACTTAGGAAAACTGAGCTTTAAAAGGTTCAACCTATTAACTGTATACTTTTTCTGTATTTTATATTAAAATATCCTGATTATCATTTTGGTTAAATAATGATCCTGTTTTGATCAAATGTTCCAGGTTTTCTGGCATCTTTGACAGGCTTCCCAAGACCAAATTTTAAATTAAGTATTTTTACCGAGACTTATTTGATGTATTAACTTATAGGAGAAGTTTTGTAAAATGATGAAGTAATATTGATGTCATTGCTATATGTGTTCTTAAGATCATGTAAAATGTACAGTGTTTAGACAGCAGTGAGGCGATGCCATCAGTCAAATTCTGTTTTTTTTTTTTGTCCTGGTATGCTGTGTGCATAAGGAATAACTGAATTTTTGTCAGTTGAATCATTGTAAAGAACTACTATGAACTTGGCTATATTAATTACAGATATTTTAAGTTTTTGTTATTCATAGTTTCAAAGTTGATTCACATGGAAAAGACTCTAATGAGTATGCTTAAATACAGGTTTCTGACAAGTTTAAGATCAATGGGTTTCGGGTAAACTTGACCTGAGAGACACTCCATCTAAGCCTCCCTTGTTGCTCAACTGGTCAAGGAAAAAAAAAATGGTGGGTGGGTCAGCCAGCGAGGTAGGATGGTGGTAAAAGCAGTGACTTGATCTCATATGGCCGAATGAGCCATTTGAGCCCCAGACCCAAGAGTTGAAGAGTCTAGTCCAGCGCATGTGTATCTAAGTTCAAGATCCTAAGAGCAGAGTAGAGAAGGGACTGCAGAGTGATCATCACCCCGGGGGGGCTTTCTCACTTTCCCTCTCTTTGTCTCTTTCTGGTGAGCACATGTGTTCTATAGCACAATCAATAATAATTAGAACAAAAGAAAGAGAATGGGAGTTGACACAGACTCTTCATCTCTGGTTACTCTCCCCTGGCTTGCGACAGCTACACTGAAAATTGGGACATGTCCATCCCGGCACTGAGGAACAGTTGAAGTATGATCATAGGATAAATGATCAACAATGCCTATATAGAGAGCTCTTAAAAGGAAAATATTAAGGCTATGGAAGAGGTGTTTATCATGTTAGCTTGATACCAAGAACTGTCATATACAGAGAACTCTGTCAGTGAAAAACTTTGGTATGCATGCTTGACAATTATGCTCATCTGAGTTGTATCGTGGTAGAGTCTGCCTTAGTTTCCTGAGAATTGCTGAAAGATAAGAAGCTCCAGTACAATTGAGCGTGGGGAAATAGACTGGATTTTTCTTGTAGATACAGGAACTACTTAGTAATTAACAAGCAATGACACGTTTCTCAGGTAACTTCCTCACAGGAGGAATGGATCACTCTGACCTAGAGCTGACTCTATCCCAGGGAAAATGGGCCAGCATATATATAAGACTCTAAGTAACACTTACGGTTTTACAAGCCCATGGGGCTGTCTAGAATAAAGGACTGGGGTTAGACCTTGACATGAAGGCTTTGTTGGGGGTAATTCTCTCCCTGTCTGTCTTGGAAGAAACAAATTCATAAAACTAAAAGAAAGAGGGAATTAATGACTCAAATGTAGGGAGTTATTTGAATTTACTCAATTTTATAGCATCATGTGTATGACCTAAAATATATCAAATTTCCTAAAAGGCAAAAACTCAAACACAACCTGTTCTGTATTTTTTATTTTTAATTATACAAGGAGAGCAAAAGAGGGAGAATTTCCTACAAATGTTGATCAGCCCAGCAGTGCCACATCTTACCACCATACCACTGCAGCTCCTCTAATTATCATTTTTTAAAAATGTCCAAGGGTGAGTTTACTTACCAGAGTGAATCAGAAAAAGAGAGGAAGAGGGAGAAGCATACCTCATGGGGCATGGTCATGCTGCAATCCCTTCTTACACATTTCTCCATCAGAAATTGGAGACATGTGCACGTGTGAGGCCCAGTGTGCTTTTCAAACTGCCAACACTGAAGCCGGAGCCCTGGTTGGCCATGTGGAATCCAACGGCTTAGACCACCAGGCTAAGGGGCAGCCCTGTAGCCTTCATCATACCGAATTGGAGCATGTAGGATACATACCAAAAAATTGGTAGCAGAAACTGTGACTTGACTATTTCCAAATGCTAGAGAGGAGAAAAAGAAAATGCCATGTAAGTACTCATTTTGGAATTGTCACACAGAAATAGATAAGATACGTGCAATGTTTATTGGACATTACTGTCCTTAATCAACAGTAAAATGTGTTATGTAATGAGCCTTTTGGGATGATACTTTTGCAGTATAATATGCTGAAAATATTTTTGCTTTCCATATGTGCTTTTCTTATAGGAACTTAATTATACTTTGAATACAAATGACATCTCTTGCTAATTGGTATTATTAAATTCTTTGAAGTCAGATTTAATCTCTCATTTTTCATTTTAAAAGCACACTTAATAAGGTATAGCATATACTAGCATTCCATGCCCTCTTGTTATTTAATGTTTTTAAATAAAAGAATATAACATTTTTTGTATCAATATTTTATAACAGGCATAATTTTAAGTGTATTTTTTGGTAAACATAACTATAAGGCTAGTATTATTTTTCTTATCTTGAAATAAGGAGCAAGATAAGTTATAAAAGATTCCAAGATAGCATAATAAATAATGGACAGATAGTTTAAAGCCATGTCCTAATTATACCTTGCTCAGGATGGAGAATTGGGATATACAAAAATATTAAATGTAGAATTAGTTGGTTATCTCCTGTGTACAGACAGTTGCTTTTCTTATACGTGTTTATGTGTGTAACTTTTATTTATACAAACACATGTACAAATAAAAAATAAAGTTTTATTTTGGAACTGACATGGAATATTAGGGCGCATATGGGCCCAATATCAGTGTTAGATTCATGACCACAGAATGACCTGGTTCTTGTATCACATTCACAAAGAATTAGAGATGCGGACAAAGAGTGGGGATAGCAAAGCTGACATTATTGAAAGAGAGGAAAATTCCTAAGCAGGGAGGGGTCCTGTAAAGGGGTTGTTGATCTGGGACTCTTGTTAAGGGTTCTTATCATAGCTAGGAGGAACTTGTTTGTATTTTGTCTTCATGAGGGTCACATGCTAGGTATGTCATGCTCTACATTTAGGGACCTGTACTTTTAGAGAACTCCTGGTAAATAATTGCCCAAATCTTTGTCAGAGATCTTCAGGTCCCAGAGACCTTTATCTTGTGGTCAATGATTGCTTGAGTTTTTGAGAGCCTTGGGCCCTAAAGACTATTATCTAGGTTCCAGAATGTAGTGGAAACATGGAAAAAGAAAAAAAAAATGCTGTAGGTTGTATCGTCTCAGTTAATCATTGAGTCGTTGCTCCAAGCTGAAAGCCATTTGTTATAAACAGGCAGTTTCTTGTGACTGCTTATATACTGCTACTCCATCTTTGGGCTTTATGTCCCAAAGAGTTCTCCTATCTCAAAACTTGCATTTTTCAGCTAAGTATATATTTAAAGACTTTCCCATTATTAAATAATCATTCTCATAACTGTGATAGAATCTGCATCAAGATACATGATATGACTAACTCTTAAAACATTAAGAATTATTCATTTTCTCACAATTAAGTTTAGTCTTAAATAATGCTTTGAACATCTTTATGTATAAATGTACTGACTTGATTTTCTTGGTCTAGAAATTTGAAGATTTAATTAAAAGCTGTAAAAGTATTTTTAAATGGATATGTATGTTTAAGATACATACATCAAACATGTGTATCTTATCGTAAAGTACATACATAATTAATAAGATAAATAATTAATGGAGAATATTTGGTACGTAGAAGTATAAAGAAAGTAGAATACACTAAAAATCTCAACCATGGAAAACCAGTTAAATTATAATTTTCCCCTCTGACATTGATATTTGTTGTACATTTTTAATAATTTTTGATATAATTTTATAACCACATTTCCCATTAATATTATCTTGAATTCATTTTCTCATATATTTAATCACTTTTCTCAGGCTGAATTGTAATGATGGAGTGATATTCATCTGTCAACCAAATTCTCTTATTTGTGCTTATTACTAGATATAACTTGACTCATTCAACAATAGTTATTAGAAAGTCATACAACAGACCCTGCATTGCATTCTTAAGATAAATTATGGACAAAGCCAAATACAGCCCTTATCTTAGTGGAACTTATGGTCTGAAAGAGAAACAAATAAAAATGTATAACTTTCATAAGTGTTACGAAAGGGTCAAAGTGGTATTTAGTAAAAGAACTAAAAAGAATTTCTTGGAATGAAGGAGCCCACAGAGGACTCTTTGAGAACATAATTGAAGTTTGATCTCTGAAATGAATAGGCCTTAGTATGGAGAAGAGAGATCCAAGCATTGGAAGCATCAAGACAATGAAGATATGCTTATTCTCTAATATATACATATATATATATGTATATACACACACACACACACACACACACACACACACACGTGTGTATGTAAGATTGTAAACATGCCCTAACAAACTGACACTGTACAGGCAATCACATTGATCAGTGAGGAATATTATCAATGTTTCCATTTTAAATTTATTGTGAAAACTATTCTTTTTAACTATGGGCTATAAATATGTAGAATAATGAAAAGTAGTCATGATGCAAGAAGTTGGGATGATCAGGCCCAACACCAATGCAAAATTGAGGTGACCAGGTTCTTTGTCTCATGCTCATGAAGAATTAGAGCTGTGGATGAGTAGAAAGGATAGTAAAGCAGAATTTATTAAGAGAGGAGAGGAAAAACAGAGCTCCCAGGCAATGAGCAGTCCCAGGAATGGGTCGCCAAAGAAGAGCTGGGATAAGGGTGTTTTCTCCCAGTAAGGAGGGACTTATGCATTCATTTCCCACATGGGAGCTATGTGTCAGGTGATTTACATCATCCTTTTCCTATTTAGGAGTGAGCTCACAAACCATAAAACTTTAGATATTTAGATCTTAGTTAACATTCAGCAGGTCTTTGTCTGAGGTCTGTGGCCCATGAAGTCTCTAGTTTTTGTTGTATTTTCAACAAGTCTAAGATTAAGATTTATTCTTTGATGTATTAAATTTTTCCCTGTGCTTCTTAACTATAATTTCATTTAGACACATCTTGTAGGTGCTTGTCATGTTCCCATTTCTCAGATGATAGCTCAAGACCCTTTGCTCTCTTGATCTTCAGACCAAAAGAGAATACACCTTTTTTTTTTTTTTAAATGTAGCTAATGCTATAGAAAATGTTAGTTTCAGCTGTCATTATCTCAAGTAGGCTATAAGCAACTCTGGCTGTAAGCACTCATCTATTTGAGCAAGCACTGAGAGCTAATAGTTTTCTAGTGAGCATAGTGAATGATTTCTAATACAAGCTTGCCCAAAGTGACTCCATCTTGTAAGTTGGCCCTATCTTATAGGTCTATAAGCATAACTAAGTGTGTGTCCATTTCCTATCAACACTTATACCTTTATATTTAGTTCACCCTAATTTCAAATATTTGAGAATTAAAATGTTTTATTTCCTTGTGAAAAAAGTCAAGTAATTGAAATACTACCTGCCTTCTTCTTGTCACACAATTTATAATTCAGCGAGAAGCTTTTCTATTGCTTGGTGAATGGCATAGAATGTTTTGTATGTTTAGAGCAGCCTCAACAACTTTTTTTTGGTACAACTTAAGTGTATGAAATATCTGAAGGGTTTATTTAATGCAAAGATTTGGCAAGCATCATTTTCTGTGGAATATGTTATACTTCTGTATCCAAATCACTTTCCAATTTCACTTTCAGCATTATCACTAGTTATTTATTTGCTGTACTTTCATCTTTGTTAACCCATGTTCCATTCAGTTATCTTTTTAAAAAAATCATGTGGGTTTTTACCTAAGTAATAACAAAGTAGCAAAACTACACACCTTGATAGTCACAGGTAAACCAAGAATCAATTGCTTGGTTGCCAGTTGATGTCTGATATGATTTACTACTGGTCATGTCTTCATCTATTGATTACATAGTGTGATATGGACTGAGAGTTAGCCACAAACTTTGCATTTTATGCAACGGTAATAAGCCTATTGTGGTAACTGAAATTAGAAACATGGTATTGGGACCTGGTATTATTTAACTTAACCATAATAATTGAAATCCATGTATATCAGAATTATGCAAAGTGTACACTGCCTATATAAGATATTTTCCACCTGAAATGAGTATTGTAAGGTGTATATGTTTTCAAAATTTGAGTCCTAATTATATCTTATGCACTTGAGGGTTTAAGCAGAATAAAATTAATTTTTCAGAGTCTGTTTTCTAATCTATAGTGAAGAATAATAACACCTAGATATCATTGTCACTAGTAACAAAAGAAATGGCAAGTTTATCATTTTTAACAAATAAGAAGTTTTAAAATGTTTTTTACAGACATCAGTAAAATCAATCTCTATTACTATTGTTTTACCCCATAAGTGAATGTAGCATTTTTTTTTTTCAGGTCCTCTCTTAACACAGTATGAAGCAAATTCTGAGAGTGTTACTATCTAGAAGAGTTAAAGTTTTGATCATTACAATCAATTACCCTTCATAGACAGAACTAATTAAATCTCCAACTCTGCTATGTATGTCTTAACATCTGCAGTAAAAGCTGATGAGAGAAAAGTCTCCATTCAATAGAGAAATGGAGCTGATTGATCCAAATAGACCTTTTTTCCACAAGATTGTAACTGAGTATACAAGATTGGTCCATTTATTGCTTTCCAACAAATTGCTTAAATGAGTCAAGGGCCAAGATATTTCAGGAATTAAGTTCTAAGTTGAAACCAATATGTTACAGAAAAAAATGCCTTCATTTTCCTCATTAAATCATATTTTAAATAATTAAATTCTTATTTATCTTTAAAATATAGACTAGATAGTAACATGATTATATGACTACATGGAATTTTTCTTTTTAATATTTGTTTTTTCATTTTACTGTCTCTTTAGAGGCTTAAAAATCAAATAATATTTCTACTAGAATCCATGCAAAGAGAAAATAAATCACAGTATTGTGTGGTTGAAAAAGTCATGATGTATTTTTGCATAGGAAAAAAATGCATCATGTCTTTTCTGACAGCCCAATAAATCAGTCAACTTTGACCTTTAGGTCTACATAGAAATTAAATAACTTATGGAAATAACTAAAATAGGCACTTGTTTTATTATTATTGGTTTAAGTAGGACATATTACTTATTTCCATGTGATTTAGAGCAGTGTTTTGATGTTGGTAATTTAGTATGGGGTTAGGTAAGAAAATCCTACATACATGGGGGGGTATACCGTGGGTGATTAATGTAGTAGGCAATCCAAGAAGTGAATCCCCAATAAAAGGCACAACTCTATAAATAAAAAAATACAAAATAAAAGTTAGGAAAAATGTATAATATATAACCACATTTGAAACCACCCATACTTTTATACTACCTACTATAACATTTTTTCTATGAAAAATAGTATAAATGATCTATGCTAGATAGAGGGATGCTTCCTTACATAGTAAAGTGACATTTTTTGTTTTGTTTTTGTTTTATTTTATGCTTTCTTATTTATATTTAATCATTATCTATCTCTATAGGACAAAATATGGTTTTACAAAGTATGCATGCAGTATGTGACAGTCAAATCAAGGATATTACCAGATATGATAATATATGTATACATTTTTGTGTCTATTAAGCGGCATTTTAAAAGTACCTATAGTTTTAGGTTTTGGCCATAGGATGTTTGTCCTTGCCAGAGTGAGACAGAGAAAAAATGAAAAATCACCTCCCAGGGGAATGACCACACCACAATCCCTTCTCCTCCTGGGATTTTAGGCAAGCACATACATATGCCTGGCATGATTTTCAAACTGCTAGGTTTGGGATGCGAATTACAGTCCACCACTTGAGAATCTAGCACCTTAAACACCATGCTACCTGCTGGCCCCCAAAGTACCATATTTTAAAGTTTTTTTGTTTATTTCTTCTGTGATCAAAAGCAACAGAAAGAGAGAGAGAGAGGGAGAGAGAGAGAGAAAGCACCTCCACAGGGTCTTAAAGATGCAATCTACCCAAACCTATTGCCAGCTGTGGATTATGGACACACACACATGCCTGGCAAACTGAGGGAGGTCCCAGGGCTTTTAACTGAGGACATTCCTGTGTAAAATTGACTTACAGAATGTGGATTCCCACTGTTGTGCCACCATCTGGCCCCTTGAGAGTATTTTTTGACACCACCAAAGAAAGACATTTCTTCATTCCATTTTTATGGATATTGATGAATATAAGATATAGGTAAAATGTAATAACATAATCTAGAAATAATCTATTTTATTTATCAAGTGATATATATGAAGTTCTATAAATAATATTTATTTCATAGCATTTACTAATTTTTTTCACGGTTAATGTATAAAAGGAATGGATAATTAAATCATCAAATAGTAATAACATATTTTGATTGATTCAAAGTAGAAATGGCCTTGATTTAGAAATCCTAAATTATAACATTATTTCACTGATAATATATAGTTATATCTTCTATCAAAAGATAATTTATCTAAACAATTTATAAGGTTTCATAGTTTTGGAGTTCATTGTTTCATTGCAATGACATTAGAGTGGCTGACTTGTCGAAATTTTTAGAAAGCAGTTGCCAACGTTCAGGAAGTTATTTTGTAAAGATATCATTGCTTTTGAAAAAAAATTTTAAATAAAAAAATAAAATTCAAATGAATTTTAGTTTGATTGAAAAATTGAAATGCAGCAGATTGTGTAATGTACATTTGTATTTCAATATTTCATAAAAATTTTCATTATTTTGATAGTTATTTGATGTGTGGTAAGTGCCATATTTGCTATTTCTTCAGAGAGCAATGACACTGGTGTCACACTGAGAACTATCATAAATATGGGATATTTTATATATATATATATGTAATTTTATATATATAATATAATTTTACATATATATAATATAATTATATATATATATATATACGCTCTTTATCCACACATACATA